AGAAGTTAGACTTTTATTAAATAAAAAAGCTTTGAGGTTCTCAAATATCCAAAGTCTTAGAGATTTCCAATTTTCTGATTATAGAAGCTAAGCAAACAAGTCTTCTTGACTTGAAGAATTTAGCTCTCTCTAGCTGGCACTCGGCTTTGAGGAACGTAGATGGCTTATGCACCATGATTCTACAATCTTGTTGAATGTGAATTAGTCATCTCCTTATGTTATCCACAGTTCCAGTATCTGAGATTCTGGTATTTGGAATGCAATTCTGAAATATACACGTGCAACCTTCCTTTCAGTAGTGGGTGGCTGACTTGGTAATATAATTGACAAAATGTGCTGCTTACAGTGGATCAGGGGTGGTCAGTTAGTGGCATGTGGACCCCAGGCTCCTGCCTGACTGCCACTTCTCACTTCTCTCTGGCTGCAGGAGCAGCTAAGGCAGGGGCAGGCAATTATTTCAGGCAGGGGGCTGCTTGCTGAGTTTTGGCAAGCCATCAAGGCTCACATGACAGGCAGCCAGAGGCAGATAAATATTAATTGTCTAAATTTTTTAGGGGCCCTGCAGGCCAGATAAAATGGCCTGGTGGGCTGCATCCGGCCCGTGGGTCACATTTTGCCCACCCTTGAACTAGGGGCTCCAGGCTCCTCCTCCTTCCTCTGGCTTTTGCTGCCTACCCCTGCTGCAAGGAGTGAGGTGATTAAAGCTGAAGGTGAGCCTGGGGCCACACTAGTGCATGGTGGTGGTGGGAGAATGTTTGTATGTGTGCACAGTGCAGTGGTGAGCAGGGCTGGGTGCAGCAGTGTAGTGGCTGCCCACGCAGTGCAGCAGGGGTGTCTGTGCAGTGCAGGAAGCACAGGTCCTGTCTGGTTACACTGCTGTGGTCCACAGGTATGCAGCCCTGCTGGTGTCGCCTATGGGGCATTTGGTCCCCAACCATTTAGTAGCTAGACACCTCTTTTGTAGATTGTTGATTTTAATGTACTGTCACTTGATCTTCTTGTTGCAGGACTAGCGGATCCTTTGGCATTACCACAGGCTGTTGCTGCTTATCAAGGTTGTCATTTTATTGGCATGCCCGAATGTGAGGTAAAATCCTCATGTGATTTGGTTGACCAGACATATATACCTGTTTTAACTAAGTTATATTTTTCTTGGCACTCTTGATTTCTTTCCTAAATAAACACAGCCACATAGTTTAATATTCTAATGGTATGGACATCTGTTTACTCTGGAGTAAGCTGATTTTACTCTGTGATAGAAGTGGAGCAGACACATGATTTATTGCCTTACACTGATGCAGTTACTCTACTTGCAGGGTAAAGTCACTCCTTGAGAGTGAAGAGAAATGGTACAAGAGTGTAAGTTACAGCGGTGTATCGTTTGTCTGCTCTTACTTAGTTTTATCCAGGGAAGAATCTTTTTGCTCACTGTAGGCAGGCTGTCTAGCTCCTGAAAGCTAGGCCTTTAATAGTACCTGCTATATTGTGTAGCCCAGGGGTTGGCAACCCCGGCACGCGTGCTGAGCGTGGCACGTGAGGCCATTTTGCTTGGCACGCTGCAGCCAGCCCCAGTTCCGGGAAGCTGCTGCCAGCGACGGAGCCTGGACTGCTCCCAGTAGGGCTTGCAGCATCCCAGCTGCCTGCTTTCAGCCGCCAACCGGGATCCCGGCTGGCAGCAGCTCCCCAGAGCCGGAGCGGCTGCAGCCGGGAGGCTCTAAACAGCTGTGCCGGGCTCCTGCATCAGCTCCACATCGGCGTGTGCAGGTGTGCCTTGGAGTGGGCAGTGGGGACGGGGCTTGAGGCAGCACAGCCCCAGTCTCTCCCCTGCTTCCAGTACAGAGGTGATAAGCCAGGCACAGCTGTTTGTAGCCAGCCTGGGCTCTGGACAGCTGCAGCTGGGGGGAAGGGGCTTTGGGTGAGGGGCAAGGGGCAGCAGGGGTGGGGGACAAGGGGCTTTGGGTAGGGGGCAGGGGGCTGGAGGGCAGAGGCTTTGGGTGGGGGGCAAGGGACAGCAGGACTGGGAGCCAGGGCTTTGGGCGGGGGGCAAGGGGCAGTAGGGCTGGGAGGCAGAGGCTTTGGGTGGGGGGCAAGGGGCACAAGCAGGGCATCCTGCCATGTACCCCTTGTCCTCATTTTGCTTTTCTGCCATGCTGGCACTCTGGCACCTTCCAAAGTAGGCATTATGGTGTTTTTTGGCACTCCAGCCAAAAAACATTGCCTGCCCCTGGTGTAGCCAATTGATTGTTTGTCTGTTCTTTACTACAAAGAAAAAGATCAAGTGTAGTTTCAGCCTCTTGTGGGCTAAGATTGAGTGCAGGGAGTATCTGAAACCCTGGACCAAAGAGTCTGGGATGAAGGATGCTTGCCTGTAGTATCTGGTGGTATCCGAGCCCCAAGACCTCTGGGTTTGTGCCTGCACGTAGGATGCCTGCCAATGGATTTAGGAGTATCTGAAGTCCCAGGGTGCTAGGTCTGGGATGGAGGAAGCTTGCCAGTTGTAGCACCATGGTGTTCAGAACGATTGAGTTCTGCCTGCTCCATTGATATGGTTTTTGGAATGATTGAGTTCTGCTCAACCAATATGATTTGGAACTGATTTGGCTAATTTGACCTGGAATATGAAATATATTAGTATAAAAAACAAAATTACTTTGTAGTAATTGACGATTTGCCCAAACCCTAAGTTAACAACTCCTTTTTTTGGTTTTCAGATACCCATATTATGCAGAAATTTATCATTACTATTTAACATTCATGTTGTTGTAGCACAGAGACCAAGTTAAGGTGCTATGTGATGTACAAATCAGATGACTGTTACTGCCTAAAAGACCTTGCAGTCTAAAAGTCATACCATTTTATGGTGTCTGACTGGTGAACTGTTAAGGAAGAAATGGAGATCCTTGAAGTTAGGTTTTTATTTAAACAAAGAGTCTCTGAGGTTCTCAAATATCCAATATTAGAGATTTCCAATTTTCTGATGGTTATAGAAGCTAAGCTGACCAGTTTTCTTGACTTCCAGAATCCAGCTTTTCCTAGCTAGCGCACAGTTTTCAGGCACTTGGCTGGCTCATGCTCTTTGACTCCACAAGGCTCTAGGATATATACCAATCTAAAAGTTGATACCATTTTTGCTCCATGTTTCAGGTTCTACTAGCTCAGTGTGTAGTCTACTTTGCCAGAGCACCCAAGTCTATAGAGATATATGGAGCATACAGCAAAGTCAAAGAATGCCTGAGAAGCCACCAGGGACCACTTCCTCCTGTTCCACTGCACTTGAGAAATGCTCCAACCAGACTCATGAAAGACTTGGGATATGGAAAAGGCTATAAATATAACCCCATGTACAAGGAGCCTGTAAACCAAGATTATCTGCCTGAAGAGCTGAAAGGAATTGACTTTTTTAAGGAAAGAAGAAAGTAAATGTGTTGAAGTATCTTCCCTTTTTATGAAGGATGTGTCTGCATTCAAATGCAATGTCAAAATTATTAAGCCATTGGGCCAATGATGATCCTTTTATGCTTCAGGTTTATAAATGTTTCCATGTGTTTTAAAAAATATACAGTAACACAATTTGGGAAGACAAAGGTGAATTTTATTAGCTTAATACACAAACAATGTGTTTTGCCTATTAAGAAAAATATACATAAGGCTTAAGAGAAGAAACTGTTAGAAAAGTGCAATGAAAGACTTTTCTTACTAAAAAAAGACCCTGCCTTACTTGCTTCAAATCTTGAGGATATAACTTTTTCCATTTTTTCAGTGCATTTCAATAATGAAATTAAATTGCAGAAAATTATAAAATGTAAAACAAAATGTAATTACAATGTAATAGTCATGATTATATTTTATTTCTGAAATTGTTTTATAAGATTTCATAACCAATAAAGTTGTTCCAAAATACTGAAAATTATTTATTTGTGTATTTTTAAACATTCATGTTAGCAGTGGGGTTTTTGACATCATTTTGGGGAGGGTCTTTTACTTTTAATTAGCTACTTTAATGTTAATTGTAGCTCTTCTGCCACTAATCAATGCTTTATTTGTAAACACCTTTGATAAATGGATCCTAGATATTTCATTGGCAAGTTACTGTCTTCAGCAGCACAGTGCAAATCTGCTACCAGAGTTGCTAACATTAAAGGAGGGTGCTTGATACAGTATAACTGAACAAGAGTACTGTCTGCTTAATTTCATTTTTAAATGTTTTATCACATTTTATTAAAACAGTGCAACAGCAGTAGGATGGAATGCGGGAGACACCTGGGTAAAGGTACCATGCAAGGTAGCTGAAAGCTCATTGTCTCTTCCAACTACAGGCAGTTCTCGACTTACAATGTTTTGAGTTACAATGTTTCTAAATTGACACTCTGAGGTCAGTTTCAACTTTACAACTCTTGATCTGATGCGACGCCACGCCAGCAAACAAGTTGCTGTCTCATCCATCGCCCTGGAGAACATCTATCCAAACTTCCTTGGACACTTCCTTTAATAAAGCAGGCAAGACTCCAGAAAAACCTGTAGCCAAAACTCCTAAGAAGAATGCAGCCAAGAACCCTTCAGAAAGTCCAACCAAGAGCCTTTCAAAAAGTCCAGCAAAGTTGCATCAAAGAAGTCCTTCCAAATCAATATGATTGCTGTTTATATTATAAATACATTAATGCAGCTACATTACTCAGCTATAATTGATCAAGTACAAAATTCTGAGTTATTTTTGGTGAAAATAGGGTAACGGGCCTTGGTTCAGGAACCAATCCCCCATTTATAATATTGTTTCCTATGGGAAAATCGGTTCTGAGTTGCAATGTTTTGACTTTAGCCGCCATTTTCAGGAACCAATTGTGTCGTAAGTCTGAGGACTGCCTGTAGACAGTTGGCCCAATAGAAGTTATCACTCATACAAATCTTTACCTCCTGTAATCAATTCAGATGATGTATCTCAAAAAGGTGAGTTCTGTTTGTGGTCATGTAGAATATATTAAGTAAGATCCTGTGCTATCCTAATTCTGAACAATTCCCAATGCTGCAGAGTAAAGCCAAGCACTAGTATTTCAGATAAACAGTTTAATTACTGAAAAATACAGTGTCAGGTCAATGAACTATTTTTGCCCAACTTGTTATCTGTTTTTATCCAAAAAGAAAAAAATGGCAAAGTTTGAATAATTTTTGCCTTCATTATTTTTTTTTAAAAAGAACATTTGGATTTTTTAAGTATGGAGTAAAACCTACTTTGTGTCTACTTGTTTTAGTTAATCCTTAAGAGAAACTGACTGCTGTGAACCTAGGATACTAAGAACTAGTAAAAGCTTAATCTAATCTTAACTGGCGAAGTAAGGAAAAATATCTTCTGTTGCAACAGTATTGAACTGCTTGCTTGTTTGTACAATGTATGTATGGTGCAACCCAGCCATCTGCTGGTCAGCTACCTGAGGCATACAGATCACAGCTAGTATTAGAAATATATGTATATTACTACTCTTTCTGTAGGAAATGGGCTGATTTTAGAGAGCAAGCCATGACCCCGTTAGTCTGGAATCAATCATGGAACTTTTTAAAATCATTCAGTACATTTTAAGCATACAGGAGAAGGTAAATGGATAAGGTTCCAGATGAGCCCAGGTACTTAGGTGTCCATAACTTCAATTGTGCAATTTCATTGACTGTTTAAAGATACTTGCTGAACTGGGGCCTAAACCTGAATATAAGTGAGACCTAGTAAAGCTACAATGTACCTCAAAGTCTTTTTTTTAAACTGATTTTTTTTTATTTTAATGTTCTTTCAGGATGGTATTGGAACCATAAAAAGTAAAACATCTGTAAGTAAAAAGGGAGAAATGTCTACACCTTGTGAAGCTTGTTCATTCACTTTTGTGATACAGCAAACAACAAAACTAGAAAAATCTCTGTCAACAGCACTCTGGATTTCTATCCAAGGTGACAGAGTAAATAGCATATTCCAACAGGGCCAATAAAGAGAAAAACCATCTGTGGCCGTTCACTTACTTTGCAAGTAGCTTTGCCTAAAGTAGATGAGTAATCAGCCTCATTAGCTGTTGGTAAGTATCTATGTAAAGTTAATCTAGCTCAAGAACGACATGACGGGGAATCTGGCAGGAAGTACATAACAATGAATGTGCAGATTTGTTTGGAATAGCATTCTCCTCTCTTACATTTGTTGGTGAGTCATAGACCAAGGTTTAAAGGACATTCCTGGTCCTTGTTATTACTTGGATGATATGGTCCCAGGACTTTGTGATGGAAATCACTTCTTGAGGTGCTCAAAGGTCTGGGTATGGCTTGGAGCAAACAGGGAAAAATATCAAAGACTTTTAAGTATTGTCATCATCCTGTTGAGGAAGTTTGGCTGCATAAATATCAAGAAAAATTAGAAGTTATGCTTAAGGTAGTCCTGCTACAAAATATATCACAATTTCATTCTTTTTTTTTCTGGGAATGGACAGATGGTTCTTGCATAATACAAATACATTTGTTGCACAATAGACAGAAATTGTTTTTGGCCCACCAAAGGCTTCTGATGAGGCCGAGGCATAAAACATCCAATGAGTCCCTAACATGCTACAGTGCATTGTTACCGGTAAAGTTAGTTTGTGATGCTTTCTCACAGGCAATAGAAGCAGTACTCTGAACTTTGCAAAATATACCTATGCTCAGTTAGTATATTCAATTTTTAAAATGAAAATAACAGTAATGGTTATGGACTGATTAATGGTGATGTCCTTGGATAGTCCCCGTTACTATATTAAGTTTAAACCTACCCACCACATGTGAGTTCAGATTGCTTGTCATGCTGCCATTAGCACTGGCAGGTAAGGATACTGAAGTGTAACCAGAGAATCAGCATATTCTGTGTGGTACAAAGTGAACCAATGCCACTGACAAATGCCATGACACATGAAACTAAAAAAGAGGTGCAGTGTTAGTTGGATTCATGCCGCAAAATAGTTGTTCCCAGCTTCTTTCTCTCAGAAGAAACCCTAGCTAAGTGCATATCAGTGTTGCCTATTGGGTAGCATCTGAGAAGTTATTCCTGTGAGGTTAGGTCCCACACAGTCCAGGAATGACACAAAAGCCATTTTAGGAAAGTATGGAGCAAGAGTTTAGTGCAGCTATTGATTAAGAATTGATGTACAAATAGAGAAATTGCCAAAGCCATTACGAGCTTGTCAGCAAACCTAACAGATGCTTTTAAACGTGCCTCTTTACATCTTTGAAAGTTTCTGTTTATCCCATGGCAGCAAAACTTCATAAGCTTTACTGGACTATTTGGGGCATGTTTTTGATTGCAACTGATGCCTGTGCTTAGCTTTTGACCAGCTTCATTTGCATAAATTGCAGTGCATTTTTCCATCTATTGAATGTGGCTGTTTATGTAGCATTTTTCTTATGATACACTGAATGAGACATGGCAGGAATTGTTCATGTTATGTCTTGTATGAGGGTCACTTGCTGCATTCGTAGTATACTTTGGTGCATAACAACACTCTGATTAAACCAAAGAGGTCTTAATGGGCTGTGTTCTAAAGATGAAGAATGCTCTGTCTTAGATTGCAAAAGGACTACAAAATAGCTTAAGTCAAGTTAGACTGAGAAGCAAAGCCAAGGGAAGAATCATAGAAAATGAGGATTGGAAGGGACCTCAGGAGGTCATCTAGTCCAACTGCCTGCTCTGCTTAAAGTAGGACCAGCCTCAACTAGATCATCCCAGCCAAAGCTTTATCTAGCTGGGGTTTGAAAATCCCCAAGGATGGAGCTTCCACCACCTCTGGGTAACCTGTTTTGGTGTTTTATTACCCTCCTAGTGAGAAAATTCTTCCTAATATCTTACCTAAACTTCCCTTGCTGTAAATTGAGACCATTGCTCCTTGTTTTGTCACCAGTGAGAATAGCCTAGCTCTATCCTCTTTCAAACCCCACTTCAGGCAAAAGAAAGGAACAGGTGAGAAAACCATAAACAAGACGACTTCAGGATGTAGGCAAAACATCTGCTAAGCTAGCGTGGTCAGCTTTGTACTGCCTAGAACTACTAGTCTGCTACCAGTTTGATCTAGTTTAACTTTAAAAATAGTAACATAGCTGGGACATAAGTAGATTTATTTCCTTGGTAACAAGCAAGGTTTATTAGATAAATACTTTATTAATATGAATTCTGTCTTATGGCTATTAGGCACAAATTTTATATTTGCTAGCCATAGGTAGCAAGCTTTTGAAGTTGGGACAGGTAATTGAGCATAAAAACCTTTGCTCTTCACTCCTGAATTCTGGTTCTTGTGAAACTTTCCATCTTTAGGTGAACCAAGATCAGCACTGAAATATAGAAATTTTAAAACCTTTTAACATTTTTTAAAGTAAGATATTCTTTTTCCCTGGTAAAAAACACTGATAGATGCTTGGCCTAAGATTTCATGACTCACTAAATTTAACTTTTGTTTGTTTCAGGGACTAATGATGCTGTTGTTCCTTTAGGTTAATGAACATCTGATTGCTTTTAACTAGTGGTTTGAGATACCTTACCTGTATTGTCTTATCAGTGATGTATACTATTTGTATTTTAATAAACAACCTGTATATGGCCCCCAAAGTGTTAGCATGTGTCCTGTGGGTTCCTGCCCAACCACCACTTCTGCTATGGCAGCCAGATTCTTCAGGCTTTCCCTCTCTCTTCCAGCCTCTACTTCCCGCCCTGGTCCTGAGGACAGGATAGCACAGGAGGCAGCTGGAAGGAGCTCTGCTGGCTGCACCAAGAACTCCCTAGCAGCAGCAGAGAAGCTGCTTTTCCCCCATGCCAAGCAACAGTTTTTGCCCAGTATCTGCTGCTACTGAGCTTGGATGGGCAAGTCCAGAGCAGGTGTGGGGTGCACTGTGTCAGGACTTTGTGCACAGGTCTCTGTCTGGTACTGTGGGGCTGGGGGCAGCAGCAGCTGGAAGGAGCCACCGCTGCCTAGAAAGGCAGTCCAGCTGTGGAGCTGCCCCAGCGCCGCTGCATGCTCAGGTGACTGCAGGCTATGCCATCGGTGGGTGGCACCTGGGCAAAGTATCTGCTGCAGACCATATTTTGTCCACCCCTGCTCTATAGTGACCAGGGTTAGACTGCACCTCCATGACCAGAGGTTTATATGCTCCCAAGCCTGGCCCCATTTCAGTCATCTGGCCCAATTCTCTGCTGTTGGGTCCCAGGTGTGGCCAATTCCCTCATCAGCAGCCTGGTGTAATGTGGCCAGTGGCTCAATAAACACAGGTGGCTCATTCTCAGCTCTTTGACACCTGGCTTTCTACAATGTAGACATGGTATGTTCCCCTAGTATTAGATCATAAAAGGTGATTGAAGATGCTGGCTCTACTGGCCAGGGACTTCATGCCTCACCCATTTCACTCTTGATTTTCCACTTCTCTCAGATTAGGATTCTTTATAGAAAGTTCTCTAAAGCTTTGGAAATGTGGCCTCTGCAACTGATCCCATGTGGCATTTAAACACAGTTGCATTAGAGACAGGGAAAGATATATTACTGAGTCAAGTATAAAGCTTTGTTTGCTAGGTCCAGTTGCTTTTACTGGTTAACACACATGATAACCGCAATGTACGTCCCCTTTTGTAATATTTTGAATAAACCTGAATAAAACATGGTGACCACCAGAGGGCAGTATAGTTTACCAAAAGCTAAATGGTTTCATGTCCTGTTATATTTCTGAGCCTCTCTCATACAGAGAGAATATAATTTAGTACATGAATATAATGTAGTAAATCTATAGTTTAGTATAAGGTCTAATGAAATATTGATACCTCCAAATGAAAGTTATATTTTCAAAGCCGGATAAACAGATTTCTTTTTTTAATGGAAAAAGACCTGCCTGATCTTTTAAATGTTTGAATCTTCTTTCCAATTTTCAATGCACCTAGTTTAATCTCTCAGTGTCTACTTCTCTTAATTCCTGGGTCTGCCCAATGTAAGGCCAATATTTCTGCTTCTCCACTAATTTGTATGGAGATTGCTCTCTGAAATCTGGTTGACCCAAAGCATTCAAAACATGCCAGACACCAAATAAGTAGGGATCTACTTAATTCCGCCTGTTGCAGGCCACTTGAGGAGACCTATACCATTTTTGTGCTCTCTTTGTGGTGCCCCTTCCCTGCCCCTGCTGATTGGCTGAGAGGGCCTGGAAGTCCTACCCCTTACTGCTGATTGGCCAAGGGGCCAAAACCCTACTTACACAGAAAACCAGCTGAAACAACTGATGCATTAATCTAAGCAATCAATTAAATCTACATAGAAATATCTTACGAAAATATCTTATGTAAATAAATCTATGCACAATATGAACTGAAACTAATATAATCTTAACTTTATTTACTGGCGTTCTACAAGTTTAGGAAGCAATTTTAGGAAATTTATATTTAATCACAAGCGATACTGGTAGAAGTCAAATGTTTGAAAATATTAAATACATTTGGAGTGTGTGGAAAAAAAGGAGTTAAAATGGTGCTCAGTGCCATAATGTGTTAAGATCTCACAATGAAGCGATTAACATTCTATGAATAAAATTAATTATGCGTTAACTCTGAAGTTCAATATATCTGCATACCAAATGTTACACAGCAGCCCTTTTCCCCAAACCCAAGGATTTTGGATGCAGTATTGACCCATGTCATACTAAATAACGCTAACCTTGATAGAAACAATTCATCATATTACTTGTTAAATGCTAGCATGCAGTATTCACCAGCAGTTGCAGCTGACATCCTGTCTCTGCAGTGTAAACACCTGTCCATATGTTGAGATCACATTTTCTGCAGCCACTGAATGGTTAGAATGGTAAGGCAGTATATTGCTAAGTTGTAGAGATGTGGAAACCAGTCACAAATAAGCTCCCAAAACACAGTCATGGGCATTTGCCACTCTTTGACAAGGTTCACATAAGCAGTATGTTTGCTGGCATGGTCTTTTCCCCATGCAGGGATTGATTTCACTAGCTGAGGGTCACAGCTCACAACAGACACCTGGTTGAGTGAACAGCACAAAATGTGAACAGCACCGAAAAAGGAGGCAAACAGTTGTTTAAAACATGGTGAATGTAACCGATTGTCCTTGTAGTATTGATTCAACTTCATAGCTACTGCCTGGAACAGTTCTTGTCTCCACTAGTTTTCAACGTTGACAGTTTGAAAGCTGTTGTGATGCCATGTCTTCGACCCAACTCATCAGATCCATCAGCTTAGTGTGCGCATGATGGATTACAGCCTGCCAGCCTTGAAAGCACATCAGAAGCTCCGTTAACCAGACAGCATTTTCAGCCACAAACATCACTTGATTTTCAATGTTTCTCTTTCTGATCGCGTAGTTTAAGCATACACTGTGCGTCCAGTGTGATTTCCAGCTCATTGCTCATGAATTGCTAGTAGTACTTCATATTCTTAGAGTGATAATAAACTGCATTACACCACAAATTTCACCTTGTAAGAACTGGCTCTGGTGGAAGTCACATGTAGATCCCTCACTTTGATTGGCAATGGACTCCCTGTACTGTAGCTTATGGCCTGGACAATGTTTGAAGGCTTTCTAAAGGAAGAAACCATGTGCGCTAAGTGTCACTTACTAAACACAGAACATGCATATTGTAGGTGACATGAATTGCATTGGGGAGCATTCCTTGGAGCACATCGGAGAAATCTTTGCACATACATACGACACTGCCAGACAGAAATGCTGAGATCTTGTTAAAATCTAAGCTACAGTTTACAACAGCTTTCACTACAGCTAGTACCACAGTAGAAAAATTGACAGGCACAAGGTGAACTTGCTCTGCTTGAAAAACAAAGTTTGTGGTCTGTCCAGATCCCAGGTACAAATAAAATGTGCTAGACATAAGTTATTTTGAGGGTCTGCAGCTTCATCAGCTACAATTAAGATGAATTTATATTCTGCCGGTGTAGCTTTTGTAGACTGTATATGCGAAGCAATCATGGCAGGTAGAGAGTCCTGGCAAAGATTGTCCACACACGGAAAACATTCACCATTTGGCATGTTTTTCTTCAAGTTCCCCCTTAATTTAGGGTTGTCAGTTTTATGCATAGGGATGCTTATGACTATAATGTACCCCCCCTCTTTTTGTCACACTGCTTTCGTAACCCCTTTAAACATTGACGATAAGGTCATTTGTTTTTTGGTCTCTTTCAGCCCCTACAGCAGCCTTGTGCTCCATGTGCAATTTGGTGGTGATAAATGCTGTTTTTCCTCACCCCATCCAGACTCACATTGCATGATGAACAGAACAATTTCCCAGCGTCTGCATGCAAGGTTCCTGCAGGGTATGCCTTACGTGATCCATAGGTGAAATGTTCTTAGTTTTAAGGAAATTTCTTTTACTCATCATCTTCAGACATCAATGCCTGCACTGCCTCTGGCTGTTTGAAAGATGGTGCTGCAATCCTCTCATTTCCTTGACTGGAGACTTTACTGAGCCCGTGTCACTGGCTTAGCCTATCACTAGCTTTCTCGGTGAAACCACGTGCTCTGGCTGCAGGGATTGCCATGATTTCCTTTGTACTCTGGTTGTTATTGCAAGATTGCCATTTTCACAGGGTTCATACAAGCCACTTTTTTTCATGGTTTCTGTGAAAAACACTAAACTGTGAAGAGGGTAGATCCCTACAAATACAGGATAGCCTCAAAAAAATTGTAAGGCTTTAAAAAACTACATTTGGCTTTGAACCTTTGTTGGAACCTTTAGAATGTGTGTTCTGAAGCTTGCAGGAAGTGAAACTTTTTAAAGAAAGCTGAGATTCTGGTGTATTCATGTGCTCTGGATCCCAGATATGTGAAGGAAACATAAAATATTTAAAAAATTGTAATAAAATATCACAAGAACAGAGAACAATACCAGTCTAGGTGCTGCTTTTCAAAGCATTCCATATATGGCACCTAGGGACCGAATGCAAAAAAAATTGCTCCAATATTTTACTAGCAAAGGTCACTCTGGAGAGAGAGAATTCTCTATGCCCAAGAAGCTTCAAAGCCAGTCCACTATTACATGGGGCACAACTGGGGCTGAGATTCCTAACGGCTGCAGGCCCAAGTATTTAGGGATATCATATTTATTCCCTAGATATGTGAGAATGAGAACCTGTCTACATGTTACATTTATGCCGCAATTAAAGTGTTAATCGCAGCATAAGTGGCAAAGGTGCTACATGTACACCCAAGTTAAGACACCAAAAATAAACCAGCCATAAAAACATTCCATGTATAATATAGAAAATTTTAATTTCTGGTTTGTATGGCACCTTAAATTAAACACATGGCATACTGTAAAAGCCAGTCCCAGTGCTGTCCCTGAACTGCAGCCAACAATCCACTGATTATCAGCTCTGGCTCCAGGACACCGCTGGGTCACAGTAGGCTCTTTCAGCCTGATTATGATTCTGGATTCCCTCTGCACTGGTAAGCAGAAAGGAGGCATGGCAGGAGGTGCAATTTTTGGGATCCAGGTTCAGATCCCATAGCACCTTTAAATGAACTTGTCAGAACCCTGACAGTTACTTTTTTTCAATAGATAATTATCTAATAACAGAAAATTAATTATTTTTTGTCAGCAACTTGAGGGGTCATGTAAGAGATTTCATGGAATACAAACAAATACTAGGGCTAAAAGGTATTAAGTAAGTAAAGGTTCCCAAGAAGGAAAAATAAATCAATTATTGGGTAATCATTTTATCATGAAATGCAGATTTAAATTAAAATTGTTAAAGACACAAACACATGAGCCTCAAATTTCAACCTTTGGACCTAAATTCTTTTCAATTCAAAGGCAAAATCTCTGTTGGTTTCAGTAGAAATTAATCAGATAGTAAACTATGTTTTTCTGTTATGGGGAAGCATACCTGCCAAGGAAAAGTATGCTTTGTGTTGGGTTATGCCGGATGAAGAAAAGGAAAGGATGGTCAGCTGTGAAATGCTCTTCCATAAACATGCAGAGTGCAATTACGCCAGCTGTGGCAGCTGCAGCTTCTGTGCCTTCTTCATTCACTTCCACAAAAGACTTGTGAACAATTTTAGACAGAAAAAGGTCTCGTGCACCTGACATTCCAGACAAGTCAGCCTTGCTACTATCAAATATATCCAGAAAGCCCAGACTTGACAAACTGGATTTAAGGTCATAGCTGTCTTCCAGCTTAAATTTAGGCAGATGCACGTGAACATCAATGGGCTGCATATTTTGTGGTTTTGTCCATTCCCAAAGCTTTTCAAAGGTGAGCTGCTTCTCTAGCTGGAATTACAAATGCAGGAATCATTATACATCACCACCGTAAAAGTATCCCATTTCCAAAAGCTCTTGAAGTGCTTTACTGAAAGCACACTGTAAATACAGATACACATGAAGTATCAATATAAGAACAGTAATGTACACATACTGATTTCTATTGTCATAGTAACTGTATTAAATGCAGTGAAGTTATTCCAAAGTGACACTAAGGTAATGAAAATCAGAACCTGAAAAAGTATCCACCAATAACAACAATTATAAATGATCAAGGAGACCAGAGAAGAACCACAATCTTTCTTGTTTGAAAGCAGAGAAAATAAGGTTTTCAGAACTACTGGAAGGTGAAGTCTAGTATTAATAAAAGAATTCAAGTCAACCACCATATGCAACGTTTGTTACAGTCCCTCAGCTGCAGTTTTGCACATCTCACTCCACATGAGTAAGGACAGCAAAAATCAGCATGGGGACTTGCTCTGGTTGATTATTAGTTTGAAAGTGTTTTTATGCAGCACTTCAGCAATGTGAAGGCTTCTAGGACTTTAATGTTGGCTGCCTGTGGGCCCCTTTGGGATCCAGACACTCACCCCTAACATTGCCAGTACAGAAGAAATCAGTATTGAATTCTTTACATTCTCTCTTCAGCCCCAAATAATCCCTCTACCCTAGGCTAAGCCTCCTGTAAATAGCTATGTAAGAGCAATTGTCAAATTCCTCCAACACCACATTTAAAGCTGAACCCTGGCTCAGAATCCTTGGCAAGTTTGTGAGGACTTTCCTAGGACAATGATAGTTAGGGGTTTTCCACAATCATTAATAATTACTGTTCGTTATGCTATTGTAATAAGTAAATAAAAGTATAAAATAGATATAATGTTGCAATCTGAGATTGGCTTGTACAAATCACCTGTTGTAATCCAGTGGTATCATCTTTTATTTCATCAGGTAACAAGATGATCATGCTAAGTTCGTCTCCATCATAGGGAAGTTCTAACACACGACACTCCAGTTCACAGATATACCCAAATGGAAATTTCTTTTTCTGATGCATCATTTTCACTGTCTTTGTTTCATTCTGGGCAGTTTAAGAAATACAGAAAAAAAGGGAAAACAAATACAAAACATACTCAGTTTAAGATACTGACAGGGAACTGCCAAGTTTAAAATGAGATACTCTTCACATACGTGTTATTAACAACCTCGCTCATTAGAGATTGGCAACATGGGGCTCATGGGCTGAATCTAGCCCGGTTTTGCTTATGCTTGGAGCTGTGTCTGTGCTCACACTTGGGCCAGGCAGCAAAGAGCTGTGCTGGGGCTGGGCAGATGGAACCTTTCTCCAACCCTCAGCTCCCTGGTTGTGGCATGGGTGCAGCTTGCAGCTGGTGGAAACCTGTGCTGGGGTCAAGTGGCTTCCATCTTTGCCCAAGCTGCAGCTGAGAAGTGGTGGGGAAGAGGTGGAGACCAAGTGGTGAAGAGAATTGGCAGCAGGACAGACAAAGCTTCCAGCTGCCTGACCCTGGTGTAGCTTACCACCAGCTGGAAGCTGCTTCTGTGCCACAAGTGGGGGTGAGGGGCTAGAAGAAGTGTTGGCAGTGTCACAGGCACATCTCTCAGCTGTCAGCCCTGGCATGGGCACAGGGAAACCCCCTCCTTCTTTACAGGCACACTGCTGAACCCATCCAGCCCAAGCTGGACTGGAGGTGGGTTGTTCCAGGGCCCTGCTACATGTTCAAATTAAAGCTGGACAGAAACCAGCTATAAAGTTGTTACATATTGTCAAGCACTAACTTTGTGACAGCCTGGCTCTATATAGCTGGATAGACATTTTTATGGACACACACTGCCCCGTGCCTGCAGACACACATGCGCGCACACACTGCCCTGTGCCTGCAGACGCACATGTGCGCACACACTGCCCTCCGTATCAGCACGGAGACACTACTTCACAGTCAGGGTGGCTAGGATCTGGAACCAACTTCCAAGGGAAGTGGTGCTCACTCCTACCCTGGGGGGTCTTCAAAAGGAGGCTAGATAGACACCTTGTTGGGGTCATTTGACCCCAGCATTCTTCCCTGCTCATGGCAGGTGGTTGGACTTGATCTGCTCAGGTCCCTTCCGATCCTACCAACTATGAAACTATGGTGTGATAATTACTTTGCAAATGTGGCCGGTCTAAATGTAATGCATAATTTACCAGTTAATTGCATAATATATGTAACTATGTAATGTGTGGCAGGAGCCTTAGTTTACTGCTTTGACAAAATGAACTAGGACAGATTCTTCATGGCATTTCTCCAGTTGCAAAATAGATGAGAAAGGGGCAGACAAAGTCCATGAAGTATATTCTCACTCAGTATAAAGCTAATTGATAGCTTTTCAGAGTGCCATTATATAAAAGGAGCTTAGCTAAAATTCCCTGCAGCCTTACTATGCTCAGGTGGTATAAATGCTCAGAAGGAGGCACTATAATTTAGCACAGTATAGAGCAGTGTTGCTTTAAATGGTTTGAGGGACAAGACAAAGGCAAAACAAATGGAGCAGAGGTCTGTTAATGCCCCATTTTTTTCCATTCTTCAATTCTGGCACAAATGTAGGAATGAGGGAACACAGAATCTAGCCTATTGCCTGTATGAAAATCTTGATATTTAAACAAAAAGCTGCATTAAGTTAAATTTAAAGAAAAAAACCATGACAATATGTCTATTGATATTGACTTTATATTTTTTTAAATAAAACTTTAATTTGGGAAACAAATTACTTCACAACTTCCTGTTTAAAGCTATACCATATGCAAGAAGGTTGCAGAGGTATATACAATACCTTATTTATGTGAAATGGCATTTCTTTGGTATTCTGTTCTTCAAATTTTTCTCCCCATTTACCTTTGAAATAAATAGCATTCACCAGCACCAGTCTGGTTGTGTTATTAAGTGAGCCTTCAGACAACAGATTGGGGATTTTACCTTCAAAAGGAAAAAAAAAATTTCAAATTTTACAATGCATTTTTCTACATTAAAAATATTTATTTAGCAACCAATTTTATAAAAAATACTAAAAACCTCTACTACCTTATTTAAGAAAATATCAGCTTTCCCTCCCCCCATAAAAATGCAGTGTATTTCAGCATCATTCTCTCTCTTGTACTGTACAATGTTACAGGACACATTATTTTAATTCTGTATGCACAATCATTTAAACCCCAGTATAATACTTTAGCTTAAATTTCAAAAGTGACTGGCAATTTGTGAGAAACAAGGTTTCTTTCCCTCTCCCACATTAAGGCTACAACAACACTCCAACCATACTATAATATAGCAAGTTGTGGGTCTCTGCTTTTTGGGTGCCCAATTCAAGACAGCCTAAAGAAAGCTGAATTACAGAAAGTGCTAAGTGGAGATCATCTGAAAGTCAGGCTTCTTTAAGGAACCCAAAGTCTGGCATTCAAAAACATTCAAGAACCTAGCATTTAGGAGTATATGATTTAGAAATTTCCAAACCAGAAGCTTAAACTTAAGTTCCTAAATCCATGTTTAGGCAATCAGTAGAATTAATGTAGAGCATTAGATAGTTATGGATAGCTTGGGATGGATGTTACTATGCTGTAAATATCCTTCCAATATAGCCTTTGATTTTATTGAACATATTTATTATTGGATATTCTCTGACAAAATGGGACTGTTGTAATGGCAGCAGAAAACAAAAACATTCTTATTTCATAGCCATGGAAAGACAACATTTATTTAACTAATCAAAATATCTTACCTTCAGTCTGTTCTTCTACCCACTGGTTAATATGCTTCTCTGCTTCATCAGAAGCATGGAGAAAATCAACCATAGCCAAACTGGCTCCATAAAATATCTGAGTGTTAGCCAAGAAGTCCTAGAATATGGAGCAATAGGGAATAACTTTCATTGCACAATGATAATAAAATCATAAAGATATCTCTGTAACTCAGGGAAGCTGTAGCTCTAGCAGATTCTCTCTTGTCTTAGTGCTGGGGAATACACCTGCTAGTTTATGATTTATGTTTCTTATATCCACAAGTCAGCAACACTAATAACTCGGTGCTCCTATCACATGAACATCTGACCTGGTTGCCTATTACAGATGGTTTGGTATTAGTTTTTCTGAATTGGGTGAGATTCATTTTTGTGCAACGGTCCAAACACGGCTTAGATATCGTGAACTTACTGGTAAAAAAATGTAGGTCTTCTCTCCATACAGACGATTGGCAAGCTTCAACAGATAGGGAGCTCCATGCCTGTTAACATCAGAAGACAGGGTCTGAAATCTTGAATGAAGGTCTTCAGCATCATCATAATGAAGTGCCTGGATCAAAAGAAATGGACTGGCCAATGTATATCAGTTGTATGGTATGTCTGTGGATGTGTGTTTGAATGATCAGGCTTTTAGGTTCAGGAAGGGAAATAAAAAGCAAAATTGCATTTAGACATAAGGTCCTGGAAAACTTCAACTAAGGCAGAATGCAAGGATTATGTTAACCTATATCACTTATGCTCAGTCACTTGCACTGGGAACTTTATTTTGAGTGTAATTGAAGCTGTTGATTTTAATGCAGTGTTTTTCAAGCTGGGTGCCATAGCAGGGTGCAGTGAGAACCTTTGAAAGAGCCTGCACAATATTAGCAGATAGGTATACAAACACCTACGCATGATTCACAAGATAAACCCAGGGAGCATGTCCCTATGAGCAGGAAAAATGCATTTCTCCAGGCACGAAAAGCAGCAACACAATATGTGCCACTGCTGCTGGTCCCCAGGGAATGCCCATGCACACACACTCTGACAGGTGGCATGTTGCCCTGGGGTGGGGTAGGGGAGAGAGCTGGCCCCAGCAGCCTTACCTGGTGTCCTGGGGGCCTCTGGGGGCTGCAGCCACAGTGATCCAGCAGCAGGAAGCCTGGCTGGCAGCCAGAACGTGGCAGTACGTTCTGCCACCACATGTGCCAGCCCACTTTTTTAAGGCACAAGTTTACTTGACACCAGGATCTCCTGGTTTCAAACCCTCCCTGGCACTGCAAATTAGCAGCATGGGGAGCACCTGCATGTGCAGTGCTCATCTGAACATGCCCAAAGACTTCAGTTCATAGCATCAAAAAGTATTCTGCCCTGTTGTGCTCTTTCTGAGTTGTTTGCAACAGAAGAACTGCTCTATTACTTTTCCATAGTCAAGAAATGACTGAAAGCTAAGAGCTGTCACTTTCCAAGGGGTACCTGGAGCCTGAAAAGGTGGAGACTACAGTTTTAGTGCATTAGGCTTTAACTGCATTACCTTCTGCTTGGCAGCTCTCCCCCTTATCCAGCTAAGATACTAGTTGTTAATTCCTTGATAAACAGTTTGGAAAGGGGATCTTTCAGGGAAAAGGAGCCTTAGCTCTCAAATTTACTTTTCCCTTTGGTCCAAAAAAGCCCAAGTTGTTGACCTTCAGCAACAGGACTTAACTATTCTCTCAAACCTTGTTTAAGCATGTACATAAGATGATTTAGGGCAGGGGTTGGCAACTCCTGGCATGCGTGCCAGACGATGGCATGCAAGGCCATTTTGCTTGTTATGCCACAGCTGGCCCAGGTGATGAGCAGCTGCATCCAGCCACAAAACCTGAGCTACTTGCAGCAGGTGGTAGGGAGGTGGCAAGCCCTTCTACAGAGCGTAGGCTGGCTGTGGCAGGCATCCAGGAGGTTGCAAACAGCTGCACCAGGCTCTGGAACCCCAGCTGGGCTCCATGGCGGTGGCAGCTGCATACATGCCTCGGGGTGCGTGACTGGGAAGAGGCCATGGACAGCACCTTGGCTCCTCCCCTGCTGTGCACCCTGAGGTGCACATACAGCTGCTGCTGCTGCCACAGAGCCGATACTAGGGCTCTGGACCCAGATGCAGCTCTTTGCAGCCTCTCAGCTGCAGTTGTCCAAAACCTGGGTTGGCTGTGGCAGGCAGCCAGAAGGCTGCAAAGCAGCAGCACTGGGTTCCAGCTAGGCTCGGGAGCCATGGCTGGTAGGCCTGTGCGAATAGGCAACTATTTGAGTCAGATTTGGCCGATTTGGATTCGGAGACTTGAATCGCTTTTCCGATTTGATTCAGTGAAATCGATTCAGAAAAGATTTGGAGCCGATTCAGAGACATTCAGAGATCTGGCCATAGGGTACAATGGGGAAATCAATGAAATATGTATAATATTGTTTTTTGGCTGATTCAGATGAAACTTGCAGGGTGGTAGCCTCTGCTGATGGCATGATGCTTGCCAAGTTTGAAGGTGATACGTGCAGGGGTTTCTGGCCAAATCTCCAAATCACCGAATCGATTCGGAAGCTCCAAATCCATCTGGAAAACCTAAAGCTTCTAGCGATTTGATTTGGATTCATAGATTCAGCCTCTGAATCATCTCTGAATCTGAATCATGATCCAAAACTTTGCACAGCCCTAATGGCTGGGCTCCATGACAGTGGCAGCTGCCAATGTGCCACGGGAGGGTCTGGTGGGGGGAGGCAGGGGAGTGGCTGGGGTTGTGCTAC